ATTCCCATTGTAACTTAGACTCCAGCACAACCTGTCTTGGCCAGTTTTTTAACATGAAGTGTCTCAAAGGAATGGATATTATTTTGTTATTGTTGTTTGAGAACAACAACAACCAAAAAAACAAAAAAAACAAAAAAAAAAAAAAAAAAAAAAAAAAAAAAAAAAAAAAAGAAAGAATAATCTTAAAAGACTAGGGATGTACTCCTAGCAATTTCAGGAGACTTTTCAACCAGCAACTCCTTACTAGCAAGTGTTAATAGCATAAAAGGTGAGGTAACAAGCATAACTTCACAGACCAGGTACATTCTGCCTTGGCCAGCTCTCCAACAGAAAGCAAATTTGAACTGCAGCATCCTCCTTGGAGGGAGGGAGCTGGAAGACTCTCACTCCCTTCCCACTGTTTAACCTTCCTCAGTAAAAAGAGGGCTTCAACTTTGCACAGCAGAAATACTTTTGGAGAGGAGAAATATGCCTGAGAGGAGCCCTAAGCACCGGGGTGAGGCTACCAGCTGGAAGTAAATGGTTGATGGTTGCTACTTTTTGTGTTTCCTTTGCTCTACCTTCTTTAACTACTTTTTGTTTCTTACGGTTTGCTTGAGTATTAGCTTTAAACTCTTTAAGATCAGACTGTACCTATTTTAACTTTGACATAGTGCCTAGAGCACGTTTTAGGTGTTATATGTCATTTTACAAAATTATTTGTAAGAGTGAATTGAGGTAATATCCTGTGCCAAAATGGTAAGAGGAAAAATCCTTGAAAATGCTAAGGGGCCTGTTTGAATGGGGTAACAGACAGGGATTTTTTCCCCCGGTCTTCCATCTGGAAGCTTACAGAAAGACAGCAGAGTCCAATGTGAGGTTTCCAGGAGGTACAGCGCGGCAGCCTCGCTGCTGCCAGCACTTCCCCACAAGGCACCTTCGCCCACAGACAAACCACAGCAGCAAAAGGCACTTCATTATTGCTGCACCGAAGAGAAGGGAGGGAGGGTTTTAAACAACCTGCATTGTGTCCGTCTTCTTTAAAAAACAGCAGGGTAATCAAGTTCAGGGCAGCCCTGGACAGCTGCCCTGTGACCTATTCATGTTGACCCCCACTATTCATCACTTTCCTTAGGACTATGAGGGCAAGCTCCCGGGGAGTGACCACCACAATAGACAGATACGAGCCAACAATAATACGGTTCCTGCAAAAAAAACAGATGGCACTGCAATAAATTTACAAATCTGCATTCATGGCTCTGTTAAAGACACCCAGAAGCTAAAAGGCTGGAGGGGCCCCCAGAGAGCTTCCCCTTCCCCATTTCTAAAGGCCGGCTCTCTCCCCAAGACTATTGAGCTCATGTTCTTCATAAATGAAGAATGGAGACATAGCCCTTAAAATAACAAATGTCTGACCTAATCAATCTAGTGTTTGGGTCTAACGCTAAATGATAGGCACTGAAAACTAATTATGTTTTTTGGCAAGGAAGTTGAATTAAAATGGAAACACACAGGTTAAAAAGGCACTGAAGCATTTGCGAGTCCCTTTGAAAGGGCGGCACACACACACACACGCTCACATGCAGGGCTTGAAACAGGAACCTGATTCAATAACTCATGCATTTATTTTTAAAATGAATCAGATTAGTCCCATGTGTGACCTGCCGGTCCATCTGTATGAGCTGGACTTAATGGGCACTCTTCTCACGCTTACTTCAGTTTGAAGTATGAGAGAGATAAATTTAGTTTAATTTTCAACAGATCAAGCTATCCATTTTCCAAATGGACCATCTGGATCAGCCTATTAAAATTAATTTATAACTTTGCAGTGTGAAAATTCGTTTGTTAGCTTAAATAAAGTTGCCAAAAACTTTTGCCACTTGTCATTGTTTTTTCTGAAGTCTGTTTTCATACTATGATTTTCAGTTTACCCCTTCAAAATTTAATTTTGTCAGATCAAGCACTCAATGAGAACTGAACATTTGCATCCTTACTTCAAAGTCTGTCATAGCTTAGACCTTTTCACTGTTGCAGTTAACAGTGTCAAGTTCATTGCCTTTTTCTGTTCCCTTTCCCATGCTAACATCCATCTCTCTTCTGCCTTGTTTCCCCTCATGCACCTAAGAGAGGCTGTGCCTTCCACTTCCAGCACACCAAGGACACAGCACCACTTGTTGAGACATCTGAAGACATCCTTCTCCAAAAACCATTTTAATCAACAGAAGAATGATATTTCTTCCTAGTAAGAGGTCCACAGCACTGAGCAATGGGTGTCTTCAGTCCCTGCTTACAACTTCAGATGCTTAAGTAACCATTACACCTCTTTACTACTTTTGCCTTCTGTTATGTCTGTTCCACAAACCCACCTGAGGAAACATTTCTAGCTAAGGCTGCAAACCAGCAAGGCAAACAATGCAAGAAAAGGTAACACACCTTTAACTTAAACTTGCCAGCAGCTGAACATGTCAATACATCATACTTCCCCTGAAGTGGTCTGATGAATCTCATTAGTTTTCTAAAACTAACCAAAAATACGTGGACACTTTCACTGGAAAGACCATTTAAGTAAACAGACTTCTCCTCTACCCACATACATTTAATTCCTCTGTGTATGTAGGTCCACGTTCCCCAATAATGAAATTTTAACAGTGGTGTGTTAAGGGAGGGACAGAAAATATTAAACTGTACACTCAATATTTACCATGTTAGCATCCTTCCACTAAGGTGAAGAGCATTTTTTGTGTATTACTGCTTTGACAGCATTTGCAGGTCAGATCTTTATGGTTTAAGAAAGTATGGATGGACGTAAGGCAGTGTAGCCACTCTGCATACCTTTCTATAGGAGATGCAAAACTTTCTAGTAAGCATCACTCTACTCATTGATGATGAGCATATGGGCACATGGCTACATATGTGTCTGACTTCTGCAACAAGAGTTGAAATGCTTCTTGTCCATCACTAATAGAGAAGAGGAGCAATCCTAAGCTTCCAAACTGCCTGGACAGCTTTATTTATGCCTATGGAAAGAACGAAAATTCCTTCTACAACAAGCACAAAACGGTGGTCAACCACCTCCTGTGATCTAGAGAAGAGGACACTTCCTTTAAGACTAAGACTACATCTTGAACTTGTCCTCAAAGACTGTTCTCAACGCAAAAGGCTCCAGACAGCAATCAGAAGACCCAAGGATTTTGTCCTGCATCTGTCACTGTGAAGACTGGACCCAAAGATGGAGATTGGCGCATCTCAACAATATCCTGAAACACAGCTAACCATCTTCAATGTAAACAATGCCCATGTGAATTATTTCCAATATGAAATATTTGGACTGTACAAGTGGTTTTTTAGGTGTATTCTTGATATCTAGTCACGTTGGTTATGATGAATTGTAGGCCTGTGGGAAGGACAGCTTTCCCTGAACACTAAGAATACTTCCGCAGATTGAAATGTAAAGGAAAAGAAATCCAACTCAAGAAACTGCACCTTCTTAATCTGTACAATACTGCTCACAAATATTTGTCTCCTCCTTAATTAGTAATCATGAGAAAGGAATCAGTGCAATAAGAAGGCACACAAAACTCATGTTCCTTTTGACTTTAACATCTCTTACTACGAACCTTTTCTCAGAGAAGAGACATACACTTTTCCTTGTTGAACCACAAGGCTTGCTATCAATAAGATAACTCTAAGATGAAAAAAAAGAGTTTCTGGTGTGCTGGGGACTTTGATGGCCATCCTGAGGATACCCAGTAGGGATCTAGTAACTTTGCCCTCTTCCCCTATCTCCCATAGTTTGTTGCTGAATGCCAGAAACATTTTAAGTTTGAAGTAACATATTTAATCAATTCTACAAGGTAATCCTTCTCAACAATATCTGGGACCTCGTTATCGAAGCATATTGCCTCCTGTCTAAAAGACTTACATGGACTACATCTGTTAGACAGTCCTGTCATAGCCACATGCAGTCCTTCACGACACCTACTCCCACAAAATCAAACACTCCTAACAATACAAAATTAAAAACAAACAACACACACCCCCAAAAGAACAACTCTGAGCACAAGCACACTATATCAAAAAGGTATTTCTTCCTTTACGATGATTCTGAACCACAATTTCTCTTGGAAATAGCAGCAGTGGGGCAGTGTAGTACCACCCTACTCCTCTGTCTGAGACCGCTGCTCCTGTGGCTGAGATGCAAAGGAAATGTGACAATTTGTCAGCTGTTGCAATGTGTGGCCTGGGGTATTCACTTAAGTCATCAGGCAGCAACCTTGGGCAGCTGAGGCACAGATGTATTTTTGCTTCTTCTGCCTGAAGACTGCAGTAGGGAGAAAGAGCAAGGTGAAAAAAAGGATCTGAAATCACTAAATCCAAACTAAATCCCCCAGAAATCACAAGCCAGACTCCCTCTGTTGACCATGAGGACTAAAAAAAAAACAAAAAACCACCACCATTTTGAATTTGTAAGAAATTTGCTTTACTATATATAAAAGTCAAAGAGATTATATTTTATCAGACCATCCTTTCTCCTTTCTACTCATTAGTAATTTATGCAAGTGTAGAAGAAACAAGAACAGGCCATTTTTTAGGTTATTAACCTGAACATCACCTCCAAGAAAATTTACCTTCAAGGGCAATGAAAAGCCTAATTGTTGTAGAATACTTTGAGACTCTTGATCCGAAGCAAGGCAAAATATGCTACAAACAAGACAGGAACAATTACAGAAGCAAAGGCTGAAGAGGTCTTGATGAACACCGAATGGAGAAAGATAAAACTAGAGAGTCACAAGTGACCGCATTATATAGAAGTCTAGATTTCTTTAGAAAGAGCCATCAAACTCTCCTGAAAGTTAAATCTCTGTGTCTGATTTTCCCGGGTACAACGTGACTTGTTCAGATTTCAAAGGAGAAAAGAAAGGACTTCCATGAGCACAAGTCAGACTTCAGCTTCCAGAAGCATTTAAGGATTCAAACAGCTAGAAAGTTTTATTGCATTTTTAAAGAGACTGATCACATACCTGTCTAAGTGAATTCTTCTCGGGAATGATCTTCCTAGGGGGCTCATCATTATTACAGTCTTCTCTCTCAGAGGAATTCTGTGAAAGAAAGTAAGCTTTAATTCGGTTCTTATCCCTAATATTACTCTGTGAGGAGAAAGGAAACAGAATATTTGTATTATACAGGCGGTAGCATTTTACATGTACATGTACGGGAGGCTAGCTTGTACTTTTAAGCCAAACAGCTTGTTACCATAACAGGGTAAGAATTCTCCTCCTCAACACAACAATGCACCACTGTGCAGGTATCTATTGAAGAAGCATGTGCTTTGGGGATTTATTCTGAAACTACCAATAATGGCCACTTTGAAAAGTTGAAATGGTAGCTGGATCAGCATGGCAACATCAGCGCTCCCGAACACCCCAGAATAACTATTTAAAACAGTGCAACCTGTTGAAAACAAAAGGTTGTTAGTGGGTACAACTGTTGTTCTCTGTCCCCCTATGCTTTTAATCTGCCTAACAATTATTAATTGTGCTGAGTCTGCTAGGCTGCCAAAAATCATAGAAAAATGACGATAGAGCTAAATTCTGGTGAAAGAGGTTGCCAGGAGATCCTTCATAGAAAAATAATTGTGTAGGTAGCATTTGATATCATGGTTATGTTTTTCACTCCTGCTCTGACTCTACATAGATGTACAATTTCTAGAAAGACTGATGCTCCAAAACTTAAGCTGCCACCTCCAAAAAAAAGATCATCAGTAAGACAAGAGAAGGTGGACAAGAAACATGAGGGCTTTTCCAGCATGAGTAGGAAAGACCAACAGGAGACTTCTGTCCTGTTAATTTCATGATTAAAATCAATTATTACTTGCTTTAGAGTACAGGCTCAGGCTCAGTCTGTAGCAAACATCTGGTTAAAAACTGCTAGGTACATGGTGGGAATCCTGTCCACACTGCCAAAATCAGCTACTCTGGAAGAGAGCGCTCCTTTGTATGGTTTCAGCCACATTGACAGAGTAATGACAGCCAGCTTTGGGGGAATCCCACACACACATCTAAAATCAGTTTGATCACCACAGTATTCATAGCCTTAGGCCACATTCCAACGCATTCAGTAGTGAGCAACTAAACAGGTTTTAAAGAGAGACAGAGAAACTGCTTAGGGAGAGCTCTGCCAGGAAAAGCGTGGTTTTCCAGTTACTTGCAAACAAGCTCAGGAATGTGTATTTTAAGGCAGAAGTTTCCATTCTGTACCTCTCATCCCACAAATAGCCTGTCCTTTGCTAAGCATGGCTCTGCCCGGCTTCTTGCAGAGCCAGCTTCCAGCCCAACACCTCAGGAGACAGAAGTGACATCTGTTGGCAAAGGAGGAGCTGGGCCCTGCAAACAGACAGCGTGGCAGAGCAGGGCTCGCAGGAAGCCATGAGAAGAGCGGGTGTGCTCCTGTGCCCACTGCAGGGCTGCGTGATCAGGGACCATCTAGGCAGCTCAGGTTTGCTGGTCTGGTGAAGGGGAAGAAAAGATACAACCAGAAGGTAGGGCAGGGGTAGAAGCTGTTTGCTGGGAAACAACAGATAAGGGGCAAGGAGGAGGGAACACAACAAAAACCCACCACATTTGGAATGTCATAAACTGGTCAGGAGGATGCTGTGTAAATCAAGACTTGCAGACCAACTAGTGATTTTGGATATTTTTTTTTTTAATTTTTTAAAAAAGATACAGCACTCACAAGGCACCATGACATCTGGGATGCTATAACCAGGGTTTTATAATCCTAAACAGGCCTGATAAATTGGTGTAAGAGGCCAGCTTTTAAAAGTTTTCATATGAGCTCTCAGCCAGGACCAAGTTATTACATGAAATCCAGCTTAGAAAGGACTGTGATCATAAAAACATACAAGCTAGAATCACATATCTCCAAAAAAGAAGGTCAGACATTAAAGCTGCTCTTTTCTGCTCATGAAATACAGTTTAGTAAGTGGTTAATTCAAGTAAGGATTTTAATTTTTGCGATTTAGAGGAAAAAAAAAAAAAAAAGTGTGAGAAACGGAAGAATCTGAGATGAGTTGCTATACATTTCCAGGAAATGCATTTTGTTGGAGGGTGAGGGGGCTGTTTACTATTTCTGGATGCTTTTTTAACATCCACCCCTTTCCCTACAAGAAGTGCCAAAACAATTTCCTCTTCCAAATAATCTCTCTACAACAGTGAAATCTTGCATTCTTCTTGCTTTTTAAAGCCATTAAGGATCCTTCCTCAAAAAAAACATCAAAAATCAGGAAAATCAGTGCTGCCGGTGAACCGTCAGCCTTTATTTTGAAATTTCTAGTTACTGCAAAACATCAAGTTATCTACTTTTTCTTTAAGCTAATTTTAAGAGCAAGCAGAGGACCAGTTTGCATTCATTATCTTTATAGGTGGCAAGGCTAAGAGGTTGGCTGAACAAAGACCAGACAAAGACTGCCAAGTGCATATGGTGGTTCACAGCTTGGCGTCTCACCATTCTACAGCACCAACACAGCAGCTCCGATAGCAGACTATTAAAGAGGAGCGCTGCTCATGCACTTTTGTCGGCAAGTAAGTTACGCTTGGTGAAGACAGAATGACTGGAAAGTACTACACTTAAGAAAAAGCACAGATGTTTATAACTCCCACTCATTTCTCAGGAATAGGAGACCCATCAATCCAGGTGGAGGTACGAGACCCTGCATATTTCAGAACTAACTGTAGCTGCGTGGAAGTGAATTTCACTTGATAGGGCCACACTTAGCCATGGCCACGGGAAGAGCATAACGTAATCGACTGAAACAGTACATCTATATATTTCTCCTTGCTGAACAAGGTGGGAGGAGGGATAAACATGTGAGGTCAGAATAAGGTTTGATTCAGCAGGACTTCAGTGATGCTCCTGGCCACAAGAGAGGCAGACAAAGGGAGGAACCGCTCTGAGCACCCTCTCGTGGTTACTGAAATGCATGTCTCAGGCACAGACCTGGAAAAAAGCATTTGGTATCCAGACGGTAAGTTGGGTGTACTCACTGGGAATATTAAAGATCTGCAGCAACTGTACTCGATTCGTAGTAGAGAAATGATGGAATTTGTGAGGGTGAAAGAAGTGAAGAAAAACAGAGTATACAGAAAGCTGAAAAGCCATACAAACTCCCTTCCACCAGGGAAAATTTTTAAATCCCACAGACAAGTCTTCCTTTGACTAAAGCCAGACTGGCCAAAAGTGTTTGTGCTTGTGTGTAGGTGTCTCTCTTTTTGAACAAGTACAAGCAAGAGAAGATGAGAAGTGCTGAAGTCTCCAAAGCACAAATTGATCAATCTTGGTAAGATAAATACCACCACCATCCCTTTCCACAGACAAGTAAAATAAATTTTTAATAAAATTTTATTTGCCCAAGGTCACACAATGACAGTGGAAGCGCTGAGAGAAGCTAGGAAACCCAAGCTCATAGTTCTTGTAACCTTCAAAATTTCTCTCTAGCAGGAGGTTCCTGTAAAGGGGCTCTGCCCTCCAAAGCTCATTTTTTCTAAAATGGCTACTGTCTGTAATGAGATCCTTTTAAATCTGATTTGCATTTAAAACTTCAGCCTGTAATTAACAGAATATAACTCCATGGCAGGTTGTCTTAAAGACCACTACGAAATTATTACTATTTAACTCTCTCCATGAAGCCTCCTCCACCACTAAACACAACATGCTACAATGCATATGAAATCCCTAGACTGAAGCGTTTGATGGGAGATGACATGCAGTATTTTGTGTACACAGCCCAGCAAAACACTGCTGGGAACAAGATATAATACATGGAGAAATGCACTCCCAGGGACTACCAATTGGGCAGAGCTACCTTTAGTACCGCCTCACTCATCGTGGTGGAAATGAAACCCCTGCCAACTGGGGGAGGCTTTCTTTGGTGCTGTTCTGCCCTGCACTAATTATAAAAGAGTACAGACGCAGCCTTTTTCCAAGTGTGGGGAGGTGGGGGTGGGGGAGAAGCATGCGTCTATGCGAAGAGCACAACTATTTTTTATGCTTTCAAATTCTTAATCCTGTTTGGAGCTGTCAGTGGGGGTTAATGGAAGCCTTGGATAGGAGAATTCCAATCTGGTTGGCAGATGGATAGGTTGGTTATAGCTGCATAACTATGTCTTGCCTGCAGGCACAATTCAGAACACTGTTAAAGCAATATAAAGTCTCTGTCAAGCTGAACCATTTGGATCAGTAGCAAGGAGAAATAATAATAAAAAAAGGAGTTCATTTCTGGGCCTTGCGCATTTATGCTAGTATGCAGAAACTGATTAATTGTCATCGTGTGCTGGTCTGCTATACCTCGGATTTCTACTTCTGGAGTAGATTTTGCATGCTAATATAATCATTCTCCCTCTTGAGACATTAGCAAATAATCAAATGAAAAACAGGATCATAATTTACTGAGATTCGGGCAATTCTCTATGCAAATTTGACTTGTTATTGCTGCTGCCTCGTTAATCTGAATGCCTTTGACAAACTCCTTTGATTTATGAACTCATGACAACTCCAATGTGTATATATTTTGCTAGATTGACATTATCATTAAGAGTGGGTGGACTGAGCTCACATGAATGGCTGATTTTATTCGCTGGTGTCTGCTGCTCAACAGCTGAGCATCTCCTTCTCACAAAGCCCCTGAGCGCCAGGCTCTTCCCATCTACCCATCCATTCATCATCTCGATGTTAATTGGCCCAGGCTTTAAGCAAATTTTCAACACGATTTAAAGGCACGATGACACTGATTACTGACCCTCTGCCATACGGTGCCTATTGATTAACCTGACAGAGATGATGAGCTTGAGGGAAACTAGGTGTGTGTGGACCTCAGGGGGAGGGGGGGAAAATAATATATTGTTTATGCAGGCAAAACACTTGTCATTATCCCAAAGGCCAGAATTTGTGCTGCACTGGCCCTTAAAACACACTATTGCTTTAAACACCTGCATCCAATACAGAAAATGCTTGCTTGCTGTGGAAAAATGATTACAAATTTGATGTCATGTGCAGTCTGTATTTTAATCGAGTTCCCTGATAAATAGACCCCCTCAAGCCAATC